GAGAGAGAGAGAGAGAGAGAGAGAGAGAGAGAGAGAGAGTTTTTTTTATACATTAGATTTCAGACGTTACGCCAAGAAGATTTGTGAGAAAGGATGTATATATATCTATATATTATCTGTGATTTTTTTCGGATTGTCTGTAAGCAGAGGGAGAAAAGTTATCGCGTTTGTTATCGTTTCCGGTCGCTTTTGTCCCTAATTTTTCTCATCTTCGTCTTACTTTCCTTTCTTTTCTATATACCTTCTATCCTCGAACGTCCGTGAGCTTTCTTTTCCGCCATAACTCCAATGTACGTCCTCGCGATCAACGCGTCGAGTCGGTCTTTCTCGCTGCCAGGATCCGTCTTAGCTCTGAACGGTCTCAAAGATAGCGGCGATGAGAGGAAAGATCAGGACGTATCAAGAATTGAGAATGACGAGTGAAAAGTATAAAGTATAAAATTGCCAATATGCGGAAAGGGAACAAGTACGAGAGAAAAACCAATTGATGAATCATAATCGAACGATGCTAGTCTTTATCCTGAAACGTGAACAATGTTCTTGTAACAGAGAATCGGACACAGGAAGCGTCCATTTCTATTCTTTGTCTTTCTGTTGTCTGTCAATAGAATATTTCTTCGTTCTCATTATTCTCATACATTTCTTTCCTCCTTACTCTAATCGTTTCTTCGTTACGTCCTGATCTGAACCACCGAAACGAAGTAAAGAGACGGATGTACGGATGCGTGCCTGAGAAATCTCACGTTTACAGAGCGGTCGGTAAACGGCGAGAGTGTATCGGGAACGTTTCACGTTCGGAGAAATCGGTGGTTCCTCAAGTTTCTCTCGCGCCATCGTAATCGAACAGAGAGCTGAGAAACGCAAATCGACGGATTCGATCTGAACAGATAAATCGAACAAGAATTTAAGATCAGTCAGAACGAAAATATTTCTTATTTATTCCGATTCGTCTTTTAATCTCTTATCTAAGTAAGAATCGTTTAAAGATTTAGAGTTTAAATTAAAAGTGACGTAAGTCAAGTTTGGAAAAATCTCTTGTCAAAATATTACATCGAACATGTACCCGAATAGAGGTCAATTTTTATCACGCAGCTAACGCTAAATGCGATCGTCCGATTATTCAGTATTTATGTCAAATATCGGACGACCATCTTCGACGTTAGATGCATCGTTAAAGAAGAATGTGAAGTGTTCTGTATCGAAACGCGATTTGCACCAAATTTAGATTACGTAAGTGCATGGTGGAAGTACGTAAACGTGATTCCTTTCATCTGTACACGTTTATCTCTTCCGCGACTATATAATTTCCTACGTATCGACGGAAAGGCGAACGAGCGAGAAAGATCGGCGAGGCGTCTCCCTTTTTTTCATTCTGAAGAAAAGCGCAGAGCGGCGAATGTCGCGCGGGAGAAAAAAATAAAAACGTTGTCGGTGAACGAAAGGCTCTCGTTTGCTCATTTCGAACGTTTCGGATTACGTAGGCTTAGGTAGTTTAAGATTTTTTATACAGACGAAGAAAGGAGAGGGAGAGGAGCGAGAGAGGCAAGCGGCCTGGCTCTCGCTACTACGTGATTGTCCAATTTCGTCGTCCGTCGTCCGTTCGTTTCGCTCTTCACCGATCTCTCGGACGTCTTCGCGTTTCTCGTCGTGCCGTTCTCCTCTTCGAGGCCTTGTTCGCTTTTTATTATTTTATACTGTTTCGTATTTTGCGCTCTCCGAAGAGCAGGACGGCGACGACGTTCACCTGTCGTATACTTTGAGGGACGGGTACGCGATCACGTTAAATTTCTCGGAATTCGAATGCTCATGATCATCGGACTGTAAATCTTTGCCGTAAGGCAAATGCCGTCACCGATCGAGCCTTTCGTATGATGGACAGTAGTGAGACAGCGGTGAGAACCTATCGGGTTCTACTGGAACGAGTCGAGGCAGTACTTCGTGTGATTTTTCTCGTGGGAGTTAATCTTCCGGCGCAAGAGAAAGTACGGGGGGAACGAATCGACGACGATGGACGACTCTTTTATAGTGTTAAGGACGAATTATACAAATATTATGACCGACGAGTACGACTCGCGATAAAAGTCTCTTGGTGATGCAATTAATATTAAATTTGTTATATTATGTTAATATTAAAAATAATTATGTTTAACGATAATATGATTGTTAAATAGCAATTAGATGTAATATATTATGTATATTATATCTGTATGTTTTTATTATGTGTTTTTTTTAATGGAAAATAAGTTTAGAGACAAAAATCGTAAGATTTTCTAAATTTTACGCAGGCAAGAACTACGTAAAATCCAGTTACACATTTGAACGTAAAGTGTAATGTTTTATATCCTCGAGGAGCACTCCAGTTTAATCGTCTTCACGGAAATAAGTGTTTTAAAAATCAGAAACTGCTGTGCAACTGCGAAATATGATTGGAATTAGAATTCTGATGAATTTTCATTAAGATGATAAGATATAATTTTTTATTTTTTTGTTGCTTTATTTAAGAGCTTTAATTTGAATTTGGATATAAGTGTCTTGTTATTCTTTCCTTAATTTTTAATAACGTTTTGCGAGCGTAAAGCAAAAATTTCCGCGATGCGGAAAGCAAAATGCGAATTGGTTGAAAAAAAGAGAATGTGTCATCCAGCCGCTTGTCTCGAAATCTATCGCGAGTCACACTCGTCGTTGCTTTCCCAGTGGGGAAAAAGATTACATTTATACAGATGCGCGCGCGCACAGCATGCATACACGAATTCACATATACATACAACACACTCACGGAATAGATACACATGCGAGATAAATAAACGAAGCTATATATTAAAAAAAAATATATATATATAAATATTATATAGATGCGATACGTTGTGCGTCGAGAAATATATATGGTGCAGATATGAGAGAAAGAGAGAAAAGAGAGGAAAACGAAAAAAATATATATATATTCGAGTATATATCTATATATATTTTTACTTACTTTCAAAGCAAACCTTTAATTGATTATTTATAATATATACGTGCGTACATATGCATACATATATATTATGTATACACATACATATATTATATATGAACATGGTGAATCGTCGTGTTGTATTAATCGCGCGTCTCTCCGCGAGCCTCGTTGATCGCGAGTTCCTTCGGGGAGGCTCTCGGGCGAGCACGGCGAACAGGCGCACACACATACACATACACACACATACGTGCGATCCCGCGATCCTGATAAATCCCACCGGGATTCGAAGTGTCGATTGATTGTGACGTGTCGAGTCAGGTCGAGCCCGTCGTGAGTAAACGCAAAGATCGTAGGATCGAAGCGACTCGCAACACGACCGTCTCGAGATTGTGCAAATTGGCTTTTTAATATTTTTATATTAATAGACGTCGATTGTGCGCGTAGTTAACTTTTATCCTAAATTGCGAGCGATCGAGCTTTGATGTATTTTTCTTAAATTTGCGCAAATTTGCGTGCTTCGCCTTATAGAAATATATATTTGGGGTAGACTAATGTGCGTGATATTTTTTCATCAAATTTCGTGAAATTTACCGCGTTCTTTCTGGCGTGTGTGCGCGAGGATGTTTTGCCGAAATTCATTTCGTCGAAAATGGAGTATCATGATGTACTGGGGTTTTTTTTCACCGATATTTCGTTATAAACTTATCCAATAAAAATCTCGCGCAATATTTTTTTATCAAACTCTCGTTTCTTCGTGAAATCTTTTTCGTGCGATATTTCTTCATTATTTGTGTGACTTTTTGCACGTGCGAAGAAATCCTGCCCTTATTCCTTTTTCGTATACGGTATCAATTCACAACGAAGTTTTTTGACATGTTTATCTACCAGTGCTAATTCACTATTAACGCTACATAAATTAATCAAAGTCCATTTTAGAAGATTACATAGTGTCGATAAAAATCTGAGATCGCATATTAAAAGATCTAAAAAATAAGAAGTAAAAGACAAGCTTCTATCTGAGATAAAAAATGTGCAAACAAATTTTTGAGATTTTGTTATCTAAATAATGAATCGCATTACTGAAAATTAATATCGAAAGATAAATAACGGTGGTAAATGAACATTTAGTGTCCATTTTTTTAGTATTTTATTTGAATTATAAATAATCCCAGTTTTTTAATCGATACTATGTATTAAAATAGCATTTCTTCGAACAACAGACATGTCTCGAATGAGCTTTCGGACGATCTTTAGAACGATCTCGAATATATTTCGAGAATGAAAACGACGTCGAAGCGTCTCGAATAAATTGCCGTTGGTTTCGTATCAACTAAAATCGCGTGTGCGTGCCTATCAATGATCGTGAAAGACGATTGGCGGCTCATAATTCATAAGCGCTAATAAGCCGCTATTAAAACCGATAAAATTTCGATAAGTTTTATCTTCTCGCCCTCATGCATGGTACCATCTCTCTATAACGGCTGTTGTTCCCGCGAAGAAGAGAAATTCGATTGATTTTTAGTTAATCCGCCCAAAATCTGTTCTCTCTAATGTTATATTTTATATATAAATATAGAAAATATTCACACGCGGCTGTTCGGGAGCCAATTAAGTACTCAAATGTCAAAATCTCAAGTCATCGAACTGTATAAGAATTTCAATCAGTCGCATTAATAAACGCTGTGAAGAAAAGTAGCTGGCTCAGTCGAAAAGGGAGCACATGCTCTTCCCACATGGGACGTGTATTTCGATCGCGGAACACGAGTGGTTCAAATATATTTTTTTTTCTACTATTTTTTTTCTCTCGTGAAAGCCGGATGCGGAGGCGGCATCGTTCTATACGATATCCGAGCCGATTGCTCTTTTGTACAAAAAGAACGATAAAAAAAAAGAGAGAGAAAAGGACAAGAGTGAGAGTGGTACTTCAGTAGTGGCGTGAAT